ATGTGTTGTCATGTGCTGTGCGACAATGACAATAGACCCAGCCCTCTTCCTATACTATTCCATTGCCTCATTGGCATATTGTTTTCTTCTCTTTGATGTACTTGAAATTTGATGCCCCACCCACCCACACAACCCACCTGGAATCCACAAATCTATGGATGGAGAGAGAGAGACAAAGAGAGTCAATCCATCAATGAAACAATGTCATCCTCAGCTGAGAACTGTCATCAAATGTGATACCAACAAGGTAACCAAGAAACAAACAGATTTGCAGTTGATGTCTTAGCATTTCATTTTTCTTATATTGCACTGCTATTTTTTTTTTTCTTGGGCACAAATTTATGTGTATTACTAATAAATACTGACATAATTAATATATAAAAGAGTAGGCCATTATTTAGTAGAACCATTATACTTGGACTGGAGGAAAAAGTTGTTGGAGTTAGCTGACGGGGCATCCTTTGAATGCATTAGGATGCAATGCATACTGTCAATAAAACAACTTCTTCTCCATATTGGACCCACCACAAAATTTAGAAGCAACATCCATTACTCTCAAACCTTTCAGAATTCCCAAAAGATGCAATGCATATTGTCAATCTTGTTGCCACTGTACATCAACAGTTAGAGATTAGGCACAATTCCTATGTTTACATTTTGGGTAAATTTGTAGGTTTAGGTTAAAAATTTTGATTTTCTTTTTCTTCTTCTTTTTCTTTTGCATCTTAGGAAAGTCAGGGTAAATACAATTTGTGAATTTAGGTTAAGAATTTGAAATTATTATTATTATTATTTTTTTGACCTTTTTGAAAATTCTAGATTTTATGAATTTGTAAGTGAATATGAAATTTATTGGTGTCGTTCTCACTGGAGAATAATCTTGACCTTACCATCCGTTTCGCTCATAAAAATTTGATCTTCTTTGGTTCAAAATATTAGATAGGGCTCTTTTCTAGAGAAGAAAAAGAAAAAAATATTGGATCCAGAATAAAATAAAATTAATTTTACAGAAAATGTTTGAACTATAGGGTAACTCACTGAAATACATGTACGGTAAAATATTTTTAAAAAAAACCGGTTAAAATAATATATGGAAACGTGGCTAACAAAAAATTTGCCACATCGTTCACACAAACATCATGAAACATTATGAAGTTCAATTCATGATGCTTATTATTTCCCAAAATATTAATTATTTTATTTAGTATTGTCCCACACTTATATGAAGTAAAGTATATACTGAATATTGACATAACATTAGGCCTAAGCAGATCACTTTAGTAGCGTTGGAAACGCTTGAGTTGTGTTTCGACCATGTATATATATTTTTTATTTTGAAAAAATGACCAAAAATATCAATTTGGGCAAATAGAAAGTAAAAGTCATCAATATTAGGACACACTGGTGGAGTTAGCGGCCTGCAAGATAGAGGTAGCCCAGCCACGTGAAGTCTAGGATTGCTTTGCCATGGGCTAGGCCCATGGGTTAGTCATGAGACTCATGACTCCTTGACTATGGCATAGTCATTTGAACTCGAATCGTAGCCAAAACTCGGCTACGCTGTTTTTTTTTAATTGTGGGAAAATAAATAAATAAATATATATACTATATACAGAAATATAGAGGTCAAAGGATAAGCTGAATACGATCCACCATTCAGAAGTATCATCACAGTTGCAAGGACAGTTAATATTGCCGCCAAAACAAAGTGTTTATATCTGTACTCACAAATTCTATTAGGTTTTTCTTTTTAATTAATTATTATTTATTTAATTTTTTTCAAGTTGCTATGCATGCATGCATGGGTGGCGCCATGGTGGCTATATATATCTCCACGGATTTTATGACAAAAGTATTTTTTTTAATTACTTTTTTTAACCTTTATTTTTTTTATTATTATTTTTTTATTACTTCACACGCACATATTAAAAGTTATTATTACTTCATAAAAATAATAATCACGGTCCTTACTTCACAAATATATATATATATATATATATATATATATATATATATATTGTTATTACTCACACACATATAATAATAATAATTTTCTTGAATTAATATTTTTTTTATTACTTCACACAAAAAAATTAGTAATAAAAGTTAACTACTTAACGTTGCTTAATATATATATATATATTTCATAGAGGAGGTATCCTCAAATCTTACGAGTGAGGCTAATCTACCTTAAGACACATGCAACACCTCCATACACCGGACACATGGACGGACCTACATGCATGGCGGGGGCAATTGCCTCCCTTGATTTTTTTTTTTTTTATAATAAAAATACCTAATATTCAGGGTTTGTCCCTAACCGGACAATATATACATTATACTAACACAACAAGCAAATAGTGGAATCATTATACTCGACATACATAAAATTAAATTTTATTAAGATGGTAAAAGTAAGATATATGCATTTGTTTGTACTTGATCTATGAAATTTTTTTTCCCGTATATTACTTGAAACTCAATCTAATTCTGGTCTACATTTTTTTTTGGAACGGTAGTCGTGTGGTTCACTCCATAATTAAAACAATAAATGATTTATTTATTATAATTATGAGGAAGAATTTAAAATTTAAAAATTTAACGTTGCCATTAATTACTAGACTTTATGTATATATATATAAAGTTAGTAAAAGTTCATTATGGCATGTGTGTCATTAGTTAATGTAAGTAGAGATGTCATTTCTGATTGAAAGAGAAACAATTGAAGTATCTAAATAAAAGTATATCCCCACATCAACGATATATACCATAGAATTTCTTAGTCATAAAGATCAGATTCACATGAGAATGATACATTGAATTAAAATAAAAAGTTGCCGAAACTTCTATTAAAAAAGAAAATTGGAGTGGTTTGCTTATAATTCTGTGTGATTTCGTGCATATATATATGGAATGGAATCAAAGTATTAGTGCTACCTTAATAAAGTGGACATCCTCTTCACTCCAAACCCCCCATTGATTGAACAAATTGGATAGTGTTTTTCTGTTTTGGTCTATGAAGCACGTACACTCCTCCCAAGGGCTCCGTATCAGTGTTGGACACTTTTTGAATACCGACACCCGTGTCCGAGGCTCGGACACGTGTCCGACACTTCTGTAAAGTGTCCAAATATTATTTTTTATTGAACACACGTGTTCGAAGTTCGGACACACGGTCCGACACTTCTGTGAGACAAAATTTATTTTCTCTCACTCCTCTCTCAGTCTCTTTTCTTCTTCAATTATCTCTCTTCATGAACAAGATATATATATATATATATATATATATATAAGTTACATGAATAAAATTTTGTGAAAGACTGAAAGTATATATGTTTATTTATATACATATTTAGTTCATTATAATTATGTCTTTTCTGCACATCTTCGTTTGGAATTTGGATCAACTTTATTTTTCATTTTTTTTCTGTTTTATCTCATCTATATTTTTCTTATAATAGAGATGAAATTATTGAAATTGATTCTGTTCTTTGTTGTTATTTTATTTATCTGTACAAGATTCTAGTAATTATATTTTGAATATATAATTTTATATATATATATATAATTTTATAGGCGTATCTCCGTCATACTCGTATCCTATTTTTTTAAAATTTATCATATTATCGTATCCGTGTCGTGTAACACTCGTGTCCCGTATATATGCCCGTGCTTCATTGGTTTTGGTTTATCATATCAACTTGAGAGTTGTGGAATGAGGAGGACATATTCCAATTATGAAGTTGTTCAGAATCCTTCCTTCTCTCCTTATCCTTTGTGTGGTTCTGACAAAAAGAAAGAAGTCATAATATCTTTTTCTAGCTGTAATATGTACTGTGCAGTCCCTATACCAACAAGGAGAACTGTCATCAAATGTGATACCAACAAGGTAACCAAGAAACAAACAGATTTGCAGTTGATGTCTTAGCATTTCATTTTTCTTATATTGCACTGCTATTTTTTTTTTTTTGGGCACAAATTTATGTGTATTACTAATAAATACTGACATAATTAATATATAAAAGAGTAGGCCATTATTTAGTAGAACCATTATACTTGGACTGGAGGAAAAAGTTATTGGAGTTAGCTGACGGGGCATCCTTTGAATGCATTAGGATGCAATGCATACTCTCAATAAAACAACTTCTTCTCCATATTGGACCCACCACAAAGTTTAGAAGCAACATCCATTCCTCTCAAACCTTTCAGAATTCCCAAAAGATGCAATGCATATTGTCAATCTTGTTGCCACTGTACATCAACAATTAGAGATTAGGCACAATTCCTATGTTTACATTTTAGGTTTAGGTTAAAAATTTTGATTTTCTTTTTCTTCTTCTTTTTCTTTTACATCTTAGGAAAGTCAGGGTAAATACAATTTGTGAATTTAGGTTAAAAATTTGAAATTATTATTATTATTTTTTTTTACCTTTTTGAAAATTCTAGATTATGAAGTTCACTTAAATACATGTACGGTAAAATATTTTTAAAAAAATCGGTTAAAATAATATATGGAAACGTGGCTAACGAAAAAATCGCCACATCGTTCACACAAACATCATGAAACATTATGAAGTTCAATTCATGATGCTTATTATTTCTCAAAATATTAATTATTTTATTTAGTATTGTCCCACACTTAAATGATGTAAAGTTTATACTGAATATTGACATAACATTAGGCCTAAGAAGATCACTTTAGTAGGGTTGGAAACGCTTGAGTTGTAGTTCGACCATGTATATATATTTTTTATTTTAAAAAATGACCAAAAATATCAATTTGGGCAAATAGAAAGTAGAAATCATCAATATTAGGACACCCTGGTGGAGTGAGCGGCCTGCAAGATATAGAGGTAGCCAGCACGTGAAGTTTAGGATTGCTTTGCCCTGGGCTAGGCCCATGGGTTAGTCATGAGTGCATGACTATGGCATAGTCATTTGAACTCGAATCGGAGCCAAAACTCGGCTACGCTGTTTTTTTTTCGTGGGAAAATAAATATATATACTATATACAGTAATACAGAGGTCAAAGGATAAGCTGAATACGATCCCCCATTCAGAAGTATCATCACCGTTGCAAGGACAGTTAATATTGCCGCCAAAACAAATGCTCTGTTCTCCTCTCCTCCGTGGTCTCTCTTCTCTGCAAAGCCCTCGCCTCCAACACCAAACCCTAATTTTCAAATTCCAATCCAAAAACCCACCTCACTCCTTCCATTTCTCACCACACCCCTCTCTTCATCTCAATTCCATCAAGAAAAGTTTTGGACATGAAAGGAGTTTTCTGGGTCCTTCTTGTTCAAATTCATCGGTATCCATTTTGTCGGAAGACGATTTAGACGTTGAACTGGGGCGATTATTGGTGCTATTGCCCGAAGAAATGCGGCGGAGGATCCGCGAGCACGCGGAGCTCCATCAACTGATTGAAGTGGTTATGGATTTGGGTCGGAAGCCTTTGGCTCGGTTTCCATCAGGCGACTTTGTTTTGTCAGATTACCCGATAACAACGGACGATCTTCAACATGCTACTTCATTGGTAAACATGGATTATTGCCCACCATCTGTTCAATGAATTGCGTGAAATTGTGGTTTAAAATTTAATGGATTTGGGGTATGAATTTATGTTGGTTGAGTGACTTTTTTTTACATGTATCTTTTTGGATTGTTGGGTGATTTGATCACTAGGTCGGTTATAGTTTGTGTTTGAAGCACTTCTAGATGTTTCATCGAGATACATGTTTAACACTTTATGAATACTTTAGGGTTATTTACTGATATATTCGTATATTTTTAATTTTTGGAGCAACATTTAATTGAGGAAGAAGTTCTTAATTTTAAATCCCTATTAAAACTAGAGCATGTGTACTTATATGATGTTTCATTCTTAATTGCGTCTATTTAAGGTCTTGATTTTGGTGTAAGAGGTCAAAAAAAAAAAAATTTGGAGTTGGGGAGTTTCATCTTAGTATTAGACAAAGGTTCTTCCAATGATGATGCAAAAAACCTTGTATCGGATTTCATTACCTCATCTGATTCCATGAACTAACTCCATCACCTATAATACAAATTTGTAAACGTATGAGCAAAACTCCAAGCTTTCGTATGATTGGGTTAGAGCTGTTCTCCATACAAGAGGCAATATGATTTTCAATTTCTCCCTTTTTTGTTATGAAACTTTATGTTCCATTAGTTTCAGTTTTATTGTCTCTGATGTGCTTGCTAAAAGAAAAGATACTGTAGTAATAAGTCAATTGATGGTAAAGGAGAACAAATTATGCTTGCCACTTACTTGTTATTAGTATTACAGGTTGGTGACTTTGCTATTGATAATCGAGCAGGCATTAGCAGAACTTTACATCGCATTAGTGCCATTAAAAATCGAAAGGGTGCAATTATTGGTTTAACTTGTCGTGTTGGCCGAGCGATATCAGGAAGTGCCAATTCATTGCGAGATTTGGTCAGAGACGGGACTTCTTTGTTGCTCATTGGGCCTCCAGGAGTAGGGAAAACTACAATTATCAGGTATGTCTTTCCTATTCCGTGGTAGGGTTGATATGCTTGCAGAGAAGGCACTTTATTTTCAATCCTTCTGTCTAACTTGAAGCATTTGGTAAGTCTATGAGTACATTAATTCATTGATAATGATGTTTTGAAAAACACAAAACATGGGAGGGATAAATTGTTAATTTCCATTTTATTTATTCTTTTCCCATTGCAACAACACCAATCTGATGATTTTGTTTGATAATTTATTATTATTATTATTATTATTAGGAATGTTTAACAGAAAACCTTGGAAAGGGTTTTTTCCTTTTCTTTTAGTAACTTTTCTTACTTGGTAAGAGACATGGACAATTCTGTTTCCGCGTCAGACACGTGTTGGAATTGTCTATAATTTAAAAATAAATTTCGCAAATTTGGACATATGGTTGATCTTCTTGGACAGTCACCGACATGTGACTAGTGAACGCTGTACATTGGATTAGACTTTGTTTTAGCATGGAAAAAAATTAAATTAAATTTAATGTTTTTAATAAATTTATAAAATGTTTGGCCATTTTAACAAATAGAAGTTTTTGGGTTTTATTAAAGAAGTGGGCATGAGAATAATATAGAAAAAAGTAGTCGTCAAATTATGTACACATACATATATCATATATGTATCATATATGTGTACATATCTACATACAGAAACACACACATGTATATCATATATTTGTTATATCTTTCTCTGTGTTAAAGGCGATTATGATTATATAATTCCCAAGTTATAAATTTCAGTCTAAGAATATTAGGTTTAGTTGTCATGAAGAAAATTTTGTTGTATATACTATAATTTTTAAATCTAAAAAGTTATAACTTATTGCCATGTTCTCATTGTGTACATGTCCTCTTGTCATGTTAGTGTCTGTAGGATGTCGTGTTTGTATTATGTATCTGTGTACATGCTCCTTTGACTAATTGGAAATGATAAATTGTTATTTACTTATAGTTTCAAATTCATCATTGTCAGTTATTAAAATTGGCCAAACAATGTTACCTAAGATGGCTATGCCATGTTTTTACCTAAAAAAAAACAGAGATGGCTATGGCACGTGGCTAGACCAACAAGGTAAGATATTGGCATTCAAGGTAGTTGCTGCCCAGTAGATTATGCCAATCTAACCCAAACCAGAACCAAATCCAACTTTTCATGGGCTTGGGCATCATCTTTTTAAAACTCAGATTTGGCCTAGGTTGAAACATACCAATTGGAATTTGATTTGGGTTGAGATATTGGTCAACTTGAACTTAACCTTAATGAGCCAACTGGAGCTTAACCCTATTATTACCGTTATTTTATATTTTCTTGTTTCCTGTTTCTTCGCTGGAAGTTGATTCTATTCAATAGGATTCAACATGCCCTATATCTTCAGTAGCAACTTGTCCTCTGTTCTGTCAATCTATACTTCACAACATTGGTTTCTGTGCATCAGTTGCTTAAAATCATGCCGTTCACGAACAATCGTTTCCTTGAGCTGAAATAGTACCTCAATGAATGAATGTGTGCACGCGCGCGCTAGTGTGTGCGCCTGTGTGTGTGTGTGCGTACGTACGCATGTATGTATGTACGTGTGTATACATATTTAGTTCACATATCTTGCTTTATGAATCTGACACTAACATTGTATGTCTTCACGTTGCCTTATCATCTTCAAACAATTTAAAGCTCAAATTATGTGAAGAAGTTATAGTTTGGTGATGTCTCAGCATCTCAAGGTGTGGAGGTTGGACAAAGAACGCAAGCAAAATCAAAGCTGATTCCAAACTGATTTTTCAAACCTGAGCTCAGAGATTTGAGTGCAGGTTGGGGAGCTTGGGTTGGGTTGGGCTTGCATTGAAGATTTTATCTTGAATTGAGCAGGCGTAGTCCCTCAACTTGCATGACTCATCTGGGTTGGGTTTTATTAAAGAAGTGGGCATGAGAATAATATAGAAAAAAGTAGTCGTCAAATTATGTACACATACATATATCATATATGTATCATATATGTGTACATATCTACATACAGAAACACACACATGTATATCATATATTTGTTATATCTTTCTCTGTGTTAAAGGCGATTATGATTATATAATTCCCAAGTTATAAATTTCAGTCTAAGAATATTAGGTTTAGTTGTCATGAAGAAAATTTTGTTGTATATACTATAATTTTTAAATCTAAAAAGTTATAACTTATTGCCATGTTCTCATTGTGTACATGTCCTCTTGTCATGTTAGTGTCTGTAGGATGTCGTGTTTGTATTATGTATCTGTGTACATGCTCCTTTGTCTAATTGGAAATGATAAATTGTTATTTACTTATAGTTTCAAATTCATCATTGTCAGTTATTAAAATTGGCCAAACAATGTTACCTAAGATGGCTATGCCATGCTTTTACCTAAAAAAAAACAGAGATGGCTATGGCACGTGTCTAGACCAACAAGGTAAGATATTGGCATTCAAGGTAGTTGCTGCCCAGTAGATTATGCCAATCTAACCCAAACCAGAACCAAATCCAACTTTTCATGGGCTTGGGCATCATCTTTTTAAAACTCAGATTTGGCCTAGGTTGAAACATACCAATTGGAATTTGATTTGGGTTGAGGTATTGGTCAACTTGAACTTAACCTTAATGAGCCAACTGGAGCTTAACCCTATTATTACCGGTATTTTATATTTTCTTGTTTCCTGTTTCTTCGCTGGAAGTTGATTCTATTCAATAGGATTCAACATGCCCTATATCTTCAGTAGCAACTTGTCCTCTGTTCTGTCAATCTATACTTCACAACATTGGTTTCTGTGCATCAGTTGCTTAAAATCATGTCGTTCACGAACAATCGTTTCCTTGAGCTGAAATAGTACCTCAATGAATGAATGTGTGCACGCGCGCGCTAGTGTGTGCGCCTGTGTGTGTGTGTGCGTACGTACGCATGTATGTATGTACGTGTGTATACATATTTAGTTCACATATCTTGCTTTATGAATCTGACACTAACATTGTATGTCTTCACGTTGCCTTATCATCTTCAAACAATTTAAAGCTCAAATTATGTGAAGAAGTTATAGTTTGGTGATGTCTCAGCATCTCAAGGTGTGGAGGTTGGACAAAGAACGCAAGCAAAATCAAAGCTGATTCCAAACTGATTTTTCAAACCTGAGCTCAGAGATTTGAGTGCAGGTTGGGGAGCTTGGGTTGGGTTGGGCTTGCATTGAAGATTTTATCTTGAATTGAGCAGGCGTAGTCCCTCAACTTGCATGACTCATCTGACTTGCGTCCCTACAATAAATGAATGCTTCATTTGTGACAATACTTTGGCTTAACTCAGGAAATCGATCATGGATAGGTAGAATGAGTATTGAAGAGTCTCCTTGCATGCATTCTTAACATACCCTTAGAAGTGCATGTTACTGTAGAACCCTGCTGATCTGCAATTTGAGATTTGATAACAATATCCAAAATTTGATTCTCTTCCAATAAGGTTTTTTACACTCACACGCCCACTTTGCCCCTACGGGGACTTGAAATCTCAAACTTGCCTTCCAATAAGTTACAACAATATAGAAACTACTTATGTTATCCCTCATTTTCCTGTGAGGATTGGTACTAAAACTCTAATTCATGAAAACAGAATTTGATTTTAAATGATATTATTACCATCTAACAGATTGAGATAAATGTGAAAACTTGGACATTTCAGATAAAATGTTTGTCGATCCTATTATACAAGATACAAGGAGGACTCCCAAGTAATCTGGATATGCTAAAGTCGTATGGTACCACATCTAAAGTATGCAGCAAACCAACTACTCTCATGTATCAGTAATCATGTTACTGAATTACTGGTAAACTACAAAGACTCTTTTCACCATCGTAATGTGGGGGAGTATTGAAATAATGCAAAGGGTGAACCCACACCCCCCCCCCCCCCCCCCCCCCCCCCACCCACCACCACCACCACCACCACCACCCAAAAAACAAAAAAAAAAAGAAAAGAGGAGAAATGAAAACTTGAAACATTGATATAGCAAGTTAGGGACAATATTTCCTTGTAGAATGGTGAGTACTCACTGTATCATCTAGTGCCTATCAGTTAGAGGATTTGGTTTGAACTAGGTCTTTTTGGATTATATTATGTAAAATCATCTTGGAGTGTTTAGTTCACTAAACTATTATGTATGTGATTTATTCAAAACTTCATTTAAATTACGCTAAAGAGATTTAGCGTCTGGATTTTATCACCAATCATATGCTCAAATGATAAATTATCTTTTTCGACTTTCCTTATTTATAGCACACTTAGCTTTGTATATTGCGAAGTACAGTTTTGACATAACAGTTTAGGGCCAAAAATATCTGCAATATCTCTGCCATTTTTTTCATGGTACACTTGCGCGTCCTGTCAACAAGCTAAAAAAAGGGAGGGTGAATTCCACAATGTACTTTATTTTTACCATGAAAATGAAGTCTTTTGACTATTCCGCTTTGTAGTTATTTAATCTATTGTTATGTGTATTTCCAAAATTTCCAGGGAAATAGCTCGAATGCTTGCAAATGATTACGAGAAACGTGTGATGATTGTTGACACCTCAAATGAAATAGGTGGGGATGGTGATATACCTCATGCAGGGATAGGTAATGCTCGTAGGATGCAAGTCCCCAGCTCTGACATGCAACATAAGGTGTGTGCGCTGTATTTTCATTTTGATGTCTGTCCTCTCTATACCAACAAAAAAAAGTGCAAATGATAGACTAGACTTTCTTAAGGGGTGGATTCATTCTTTTGTTGTATTTGTAGAAAAAACATAGATATATCATATATACGTGCTTTTTTTCTTTTTTATCTAGAAGCATATGGTTATTGACTTTGGCAGAGATGAAGAAAGAGAAGCATGAAATTCAGAGGGGCAACTTTCCAAAATAACATGCATTAATTTTTCAAATGTTTGAACCCCTTGAGTTCTTAAAAATAGCTTATAAAGCAATAATGTTTTAAATCAAAGAGCTCCCAACTTTTCCTATCACTTGTCTCATATTAGGTAATACCATTTCTATGTAGAACACTATGTTACATAAAGACGTTATTTTACTCTAAAAATAGAATAATTAGTGCATCCATGTGCCCTCCTGTTTGGACTTCTGAAATTTGACGTGTCTGACGGTTGGACACATACCCGCACTCGAGACACAAACCCGAGTCCAAGTATGATAGTTTAACGATGACACATCTTCATGCCTGTGCTTATATATATATATATATATATATATATGTATATATATCTCATAATATACTATGCTATTACTTACTACATGGCAGAAAGCATATTAAGAATTGGTCATTTGCTCATTTATGCTTCTGAATATGCACCTATCTTTTTCCATCCTATATTCTTGTTAGTTGATTGAGTACTAATGTAGGGGTACCATATTTCTAATATTATATCATATAAGTATTGATAGAAGCAGTTGAAAATCAAATCATTTTTAAAATTGCTCATTTGCTCATTTATGCTTCTAAATATGCTCCTATCTTTTTCCATCCTATATTCTTGTTAGTTGATTGAGAGTACTAATGTAGGGTATCATATTTCTAATATTTTATTCTACAGGTATTGATCGAAGCAGTTGAAAATCATATGCCGCAAGTGATTGTAATTGATGAAATTGGCACAAAACTTGAAGCAATGGCTGCAAGCACAATTGCACAGCGTGGAATTCAGCTAGTTGCCACTGCGCATGGAATAACAATAGAGAATTTAATAAAAAATCCTTCATTAGAGATGCTTGTTGGAGGAATACAGGTGAGATGATTAAATTATTCTTGATGTGAATGTAATTTCCTGCAGTGCCCTTGCTGACCACCTTGGTCCACCATTCATCTTGTTCCATTGCTGTTATAAACATGTCACTTGGTTGCACTAGTCTACTCCATAAAACATAACTGATTTTAATTTTTCTTTAATTTTTTTCATAAATTTGCCCGTCAAACAGACTGAGAAGCACTTTTTAGATTCAGCTTCTGTTGGACCAGTTCTTAGATACATATTCTGGTTGGGGATTGGCTCTAATACCAATTATGAGGTTCCGTCTCACATTGCATAGATATTATCTGATTTGCACCGTCTTGGCACTCATGGTTTCAAGACACATTTACACAGGTAGAAAGCATCCCCCTTATATGTGTCAACTACTTCTCCCCCTAGGCGATATGGGACGTCACAATTTCTGTCAAATTAACAAAAAGAATGTAACATTTGGTTTTCTAGACTCTCTTCAAAATGTAAAAACATTAAGGATATAAAAAAAGGATAATGCATTTTACTTAACTTGATTTCCATATTACTTATAAAAAAAAGGATATAAATTTAATATAGACAATTGCCAATTTTAAAAGAACATGCTATCCTCACTATAAAGCTGACAAGATTCCTCTCTCTCCCACACATGTTAGCACAACATTCCAAATAATGCATTCCAAGTGTGTAGAGCATGTCCCCTGTAGCCTGGTGATTGCACTGATTGGGCGTTCAGATTGAGGCACTTGAATTAAGGGTTTACGGATGTGTAATCCCGAACAAAACCGTCATTAAGAAATTTAGATTATTAGAAATAAAGATACTAGACATAATTTAAGTTTACTCCTATTATGAATTATATTTCTTCTTATATATATTTTTTACCTTGGCAAGAAACTCACACCCCTACTTTTTGCCCCTATGGGACTTGAACACCCTCGACCTCCTACTTTAGAAGGTGAGAAAGTACCAATACGCTACAACCCTTTGTTATTATGGAAAACTTGACCCCCTTCTTTTTTTTCTCTCTTTTATTGATCTCTTATAAATTGTTTGTGTTAACATGCTTCACATAGTTTAGGAATATTGTTGTATAGTGTACTCATACCATTTTTTCCCCTTATATTTTATTGTGTACTTCCTTAAGTATACCGGTTTCAGACGGGTTTCTTGAGCAGTACTTTTTATCAGGTTTGAATACACCTAGGCAAACAGTGGTTACCTTTATACTGATCAGTCACATTAATGCGTTTGTTTTTCAGAGTGTGACACTAGGTGATGAAGAGGCAAGCCGGAGGGGTGTTCAGAAAACAGTGCTGGAGAGGATAGGACCCTCAACTTTTAGTTGTGGTGTCGAGATAATTTCGAAGACCAAGCTGCGAGTTCATCGTAGTTTAGAAGCAACCGTTGATGCAATTCTCTCTGGTATGTTTTTCTCATAGTTGTCAAAACTGAACCTAAAATTGAACCCATCAAGGAACTAGTTTGCTGGTCAGGTGATTCAACTGTTGGTTTTACCAGTTCAACCGGTTATGTAATTTAATAATTTAAAACTAAAAATATATTGAAAAAATTATAAAAAAAATGGTAAAATAAAGAATATTACTAAAAGTTATATCTGGTCAAAATAATTGCAAATTCATGCCTATTTTAGCATCAAACCCTATGCGGCTTTCTCCTCTATGGCAAATGCATGCAAATGCATGCCTTCTTTAGCATCAAACCCTAAGCGGCTTTCTCCGCTACTGCACATAACTAACAGGCTTGTGGCAAATATTCACAAATTAACATCTAAATTTGAGATCATGTTGATTTTTTCAAATGTTTTCTCAAACTCTTCACAAATAATCTGAATGATATAAATACAAATAGCAAAGAGGAAACCACAAAAGTAGAAGAATAATGAAGAAGAAAAAGTTAGTGGAGAAGAAGAGATACTTTAGACTTCAGGTTCTACTATTATTATTGCTTGCTTGGGGTAGTGGCTGATTGGTGTTGCTTGAGTGCTTGAAGTCGTCGATTATCGCCAGCGACAAGAATGGAGTCCTGTTCCAGGGCTTTGATTTGTTGACATTAGTTTCAATCAGGCCACCTGTTAGGGATGAAGAATGGAGGTATTTGGGTGAGCAAAAGAGGTGGGGCAGGAGTTTGGGAAAGGAAGAGAGTGGGCAGAGGCGGGGCCAAGGCCCCCCAAATTTTTTTTGAAATTTCACTTATATGTGCCTTTTTTTATAGTTATTACTGGTAGGTTTGAAAGAAAATTAAATTGGCTCCCCCAAATTCTTTTTGAGTTTTTTGTTTATAGGTCACTTGATAATTATTATTATTGAGTTTTAAAAACTTATTTGTAATCCCTTAAAAATTCACTACCACCTATTTATTGTTACTTTAGAAAGTTCGAATCTAGTGAGAGAAAAATTTATTCCATTATAGTGGTAGTCCTTACAACAACATATCAGTACTATATTCAATATTTTTTTATATAATACCTATATTATCTATATGAATTTAAGAGAAAAAAAAATGATTTTTTCTTTTTGGCCTTTTCCTATTAGTTTCTTCATGTTAATTATTTAAGAAGTTTATTCTGATGTTTTAGGTTATAAGTTTCTCATTATTTAGATTATATTAAAAATAGTCAAAAAATCTATGATGTGGGGGTGCTCTCAGCCTCTCACTAAATTTCCGCACTATGACCATTGAACTGCAAGGTAATAAAGATTATCCTCTCAATGTAACAGTCACAATGATGCAAAATGATAGACATGTTGGCAATAATCTATATTCAGATTTATGTTTTTTTGTTATTATAATATTTTTATTTATATAGCACCTTGCCCCCCCCACCCAAGTATTTCTGGCTCTGCCCCTGGGAGTGAGGGAGTTCCTTACTCCTGATGCACCATATACCTTCCTCCTAAAAGTGGGAGGAAAAAGGGAAAAAGGAGACTTTAGATTTCCATTTGGGCTTTTGAGTATGGTCCAAAGACTCCAAACGACCTTTTTTTTTTTTTTTTTGGTCGCAGGCACTATTTTTCAAAAACTTACTGGTCTCTAGTTTGGTTCCCACTTCAACTGGTTGAATCAGCCAGTGCTGTCCGGTTCTAATAGCACTGATATTCCTCCCTACCTAGGAAAAATAGAAAAGAAAAAGATCTTCACTGTTGCATTTCTCAATTTCAATTTCTTTGCTTATCGTCTTAAGATCACAGGATTTTGCTTCATTGTTTGACGTGCTGCCACTGTTATGTTGATGAAGGTCGTTTCCCAAATTATGAAATTCGCAACATAAGTAGGGGATTGCAAGATGAAAATGTACAAGGCGAACATTTCGATCATGATGTCTTTGACAACAAAAATGAATTTATTGATGAAGATGGTTCAGAGAGGAATGATGAATGGCCAGGCCAGAATGAATTCATTTCTGAAAAGCCTGCTAGCAGAGGAGAAAGTTCTTGTGCTGATGGAGTACTGCTTCGCATGTTTGTTTATGGGGTAAGATATCACCTGTGCAATATTTTAGCGAACTAATATATTTAAATGGCTTATACCTAAAAAAATTTAAGTTGTCAAGTGTTCATTTCTTTTCTTTATTTTTTTCTAATTTGTAACTCACATATCCACTTTGCCCTTTGGGGACTTGAAACATCGACCTTCTACTTTGGAAGGTGAGGAAGTACCACTATACTATAGCCCTTGCTGATGTCAAGTGACTTTTTTCTTTGGTAATTGGTAACCTTTCAGTTAACCTTCCAAAAAAAAACCTTTCAAGCTTTGTCATAAAATCTCTGAATTTTATTTTTATCTACAATACTTATGCAATAGCTAATTTGAGCTATAATTTGCTCCCAGTGTACTTTTAATTTTATTTGACAAAGGTTAAGGTTGAGGAAAAAAGCGAAATCTAGCAACAAAATATTGCTCTCACAAATCTTTTGTGTTGGATCACAAACATGGTTGTTGTGTCTCCTGCAACTTTTTGTGTTTTCTTTAACGCATCATCTGGCTTATTATAAGGAACCACACTTGACTTAAAGCTGAAAATAGGAAAGATTGAAGTTGTCCTTCAGTGCACTTGATTTTGTAAAATGAACTTAATATGGTGCTTCTTTGGTTTCATCTCCTTCCGTTGTCCTTTTTTTTTCAAGTACCGTCTCACCTTCTTGTTAAATGCATTTGTTTATTGGAGATACAAAGACATGCAAGGTTGATCTGCATATTGGATACAAATTCTCTTCCTTGAATGAAAGGATGCACCACCAAAGGTTGTAGCCTAGTGGTACTTCCTCACTTCCAAAGTAGAAGGTCGAGGTTTCAAGTCCCCAAAGGGGGCAAAGTTGGGGGGGGGGCGGGCGCGGTGGGTGTCTTGCCAAGGTAAAAAATAATAATAATAATAAATAACAATGAAAGGATGCAAAATTCTCTTTCTTAAATGAAGGACTTGTGGATCTAGGACTTCTTCGTTCTTTTTACTTGGAAAAATTTGTCCTTGTAGGTTGTTAGATTGTTTATGTAAAATGCTACTTTCAACAAAAACTTACTATATATGAAGTCCTTCGACCAAAACTCATAGTGATGCTTCCTCAACTTCCAAAGTAGAAGGTCGAGGGTTCAAAATCCCATAGGGGCAAAGTGGGTGTGTGAGTGTGTTTCTTGCCAAGGTAATATATATATATATATGAATGGATGCAAAATTATCTTTCTTAGATGAAGGAATTGTGGATCTAGGACTTCTTTGTTCTTTTTACTTGGAAAAAGTTGTCCTTTTTGGCTGTTAGATTGTTTATGTAAAATGTTAATTTCAACAAAAACTTACTATATATGAAGTCCTTCCACCAAAACTCATATTATTTTCAATTTTTCTATTATTATTGACTGGGCTAGTCAGGTTAATGGATTCTAGTGGAGATGTGAGATTAATAGAAATTGCTTGTCAATGGCTACATTCCTTTTTATAAGCCTTTTCTTTTTTAAAACCATGTGAAGATTCTGTAATGAGAAAACAAAAACAAAACAAAAAGTTGAAGCTGAGATGTCATCAACAACCTTGTTTCCCCTTACCTTTGTAAGACAAGTAATTCTGTTGGCCGAAGCCCTAATATGATATAGGAAACTATTGCATATGGAACTTATACGATGAGCAGGTACTTTAGATCCTGGAGACAAGTGTGCTACAAGGGCTTAAACAATTAGAAATGGATGATGCTGTTAAAATTACTGATAATATCAGCGAAGCAGATGCATTGCTTGCTTTGCAGTCCAAGCTCAAGAAAAATCCTCGTATTCAGGGTGCTGCTAAATCTCATGGCATACCCATTTATGTCACAAAGGTAACTAATTGTGATAGATTACTTAGCCCTACCAATCCCTTTCATGTTAAGGTCTTCATATGGGAAATTTCTTCTACTGCATCTCCTTTAATTTATTTAATTATTTACTTATTTATTTTTGTAGACCAGCTCGTTGGCACAATTAACAAAGGCCATACAGGCGTTAATAACTGATCATGCTGATTTCTTAAAGGATTTTGGATCAGAAAACAAGATAAATGTGTCAGAGAAGATCGATGCCTTAGAGGTGAACATGAATTTGCTTTCAGCTCAATATTCTAATTTTGATCTTGCAGATGCTATAATAAATATAGCTTGTATTTTTTTATGAGGTGAACATACCAAGCTGAGAAAAGCTTTTTCCACCTTGGCTTGGTCAATGGGCTTGGGGATCAGTTCAAGCACCTTGACCAAGCCAAGGTGGAAAAAGCTTTTCTCAGATTCTGTCTTCCTATTCACAAGGGAAGACATAGTTACAAAATAAATGCTGGCTTGGATTAGCTTTTTTGCTTAACCGTATAGTTGGGCAGCATACCCAGATTCCATGTGTCAGCCATATGAATTTGGAAGCTCAAACTTGAAAATAAGTTAATAGTTGTAAGAGCAAGCTTAAAAATAGAACAGAATCCATAAGGGGAACAGGCTAAATAATTGTTTAGATTTATGATTTGGAGTTATTGTGGAGTGGCCATTTTGGAATCATAACTGTATTACTTGTTGGCTGAGGGACTAAAGAGTATGTTTCTCCAGAAGTGAAGGTGGGTGGCTATCATATAGGTGTGCTTTTGTGTCTGGATTGCTTCATTTGAAGAAAAACATGTATAGTGTTCGGCAAGCAGTAGTAAACTCGATTCATATTCTGTCTTCTAGAAAAATCATTGAGGTAAACTTATTAATGGTGTGTATAGCCTCCATATTAGTTAAGATGTGTACTGATGAGATGGTTTAGACATTTTGAAGAAAGATGATGGCACTGATAAGACATGAAATGGTGCAAGTTCAGGCTCTAGGATTGGCTGACTGGAGTTCAAATGCATAATAACATCAATAAACAGACTTGCTTAAACTAAAATGACTTTTAAGAGATGATACCAGAGTAGGATTTCCCCTGATTGTTTGATATCAACCTAGCCTTTTTTGTAATGTGATGTCTTAAATCACATTAATGCCCATGCATTATCCCTACAGGCTAGGCTAATACACTTTCATCTTGTTGCTTGAGGTTGAATTCAACTCCATAATTATTTTCTCCAATATACAGGAGGCGAGGATAGCCATTGAACAGGTAGTAATACCAAAAGGGGAACCTGTGGAGCTGCTTCCAAGGCCATCCAAGATCATGTCACTTCAAAAGGACCTCATTCGTAAATACAAGCTAGAATCAGAGAAAGTTGGTAAGGAGAAGGATGTTCGCCTTCGAATCCTTCCATCCGAGTATAGGATGGATGAAGACGGACAGAGTGGTGAAATTGTTGATGCTAATAGCAAGTTTGATGAATTTTTCAGCCATTTCAGCCTGACCGCCGAGACAAATGGTTCACCCTACGATATTGATAGATTGCCACTACTTCCTGACTAGCCATCAGAAATGTTGTAAAGGATGTATTTCTGCCTGACAGTTATTTGTATAGCAGTCTTGTAAATTCTTGCTGCTGGATTGGGTTCCTTGCTTAGTCTGTATATTGGCTGAGGCCTTCTGAGAATCTCAAATTTGTTACTGCTATAAGCTTTTAGGTGCTGATTGAAAAGATACCCACATCAATTGGTCATTACAAGTAATTTCCATGTTGCTGATTTTTTTGACCTTTTAATCTTAAATCTGTATTTTTGTTGACAAGAAAATGTAAAACAAAATGGGTTGAAACCATAATAAAGAAGATATGGTCATCACTTTAGTTTCTATTTTTATAGGAGCATCATTTAATGGAGTTAATGGGTTATTCAACTTATTCTTTGGTGCAAGGCTGATAAATGTAAAAATGAGAAATTAGAGGATAAGAGTAAATCATTTTAGCTTTTAATGAAGTCCAAGTCAGAAGCCCTCCAAATGATAATATTCTAATAATTCTTTTCCATGCAAACTAAGCTTTTAAAAAACATAACATTACATTCACCACTAAAAGTGCTCCATAATAATGCTTAATACCAAAAAAAAAAAAAAAAAAAAAAAAAAAAAAAAACACCGATTATCTGAAGTTGACCATGACAAAAAGAGAAATGCTTCTAATTTTCATAATAGAAAAGTAAGCATGTATGCATTTGACTGGTGGGTAATGGGGGGATCAACCAATTGGTAACACCAATAGATTGAAAAGTTGATAATAAAAAGATGAATGCACACCCAACTACCAAACCTCAGTGGCCTTTATTAAATTTGTGCCTCTTCCACTTGAACAACCTTAAAAAGCGTCGAAAGTACTTATCTTAATGAAGCACCATTAACTCACTAAAGAACCAATTAAGTTAATGAAGTCAAACCCTTAACAAAGTTGATGCTCTGTTTGGACCAACTGCACAAGGGTGTGGATTACCCAATCACAAGATGGCATGTCATCATTCTCTTTCTGCTGTAATATAATTATGTGTAAAAACCAATTAAGTTAATGAAGTCAAACCCTTAACAAAGTTGATGCTCTGTTTGGACCAACTGCACAAGGGTATGGATTACCCAATCACAAGATGGCATGTCATCATTCTCTTTCTGCTGTAATATAATTATGTGTAAAATGCACATATATAGGAAAGTGGTGCACTCGAATTGACCAATTCTACTTTTTTTTTCTATCTTTTCATTTTTTTTTTTTTGTGAGAGGTTTCTTTTACGTTTAGAAACTCTCCCTCTCTTTCTCTTCATATAACATGCTTTTATAGCTATTTAGTGTGCACAGTGCAGCAGAAGTATATTTCTTTATCTGTGTATATATCTATATCTATATATATATATATTCTTTGATAAGAAACACACACACTTTTATTCTACATGGATTTGAGTCATCTACCTTCCATTTCGAAAGATTAAGAAGTATCATCAGCTTACATAATAATATATATATATATATATATATATATATACACACACACCAACAAACCTCTCTAAAACCACCCTTTCTTTAAAGCAAAAGACCACGCTCGAGTCATTTGACCATCTGCATTAGTTTTATTCATTCACGTGAGGTCACCCAGTGTGTCATGGAAGCTGTCTGATGTGCAATCACATTAGCTGGTGTCCATTAAGTCCCAACAACACTAGAAGCTTTTCAAATTACAACCAATGGCATTGTGTTTTCACAACCTATACTATTGCAAGTTTAAGTTTCTTTTGTTTTTTTCGGCAAGTAAATTTTTTTTTCGGGTAAGTTGCTTTTTTTTTTTTATTGCTTTTTCTCTTTTATTTCTCTGTTCTTTGAAAAATTATACTTTTGTTGTTTCAAAATAAGTATTTCTTTTTGAAAATTTAACTTATTAAAATAATGATTTTATTTTATTTTATTGTATTAATAGTAAATGAATAATCAAATTTATCCTCAGTAAATTTACAGTGATGTGATGATTTATTTTTATATATTGAATGTTAGAAGGTTAAATTGGTAACATAATTATAAAAAAAAAAAAATAAAGCATTGATTTTTCAAATTAGACACTTATTTTGGATAGAGTAAAAATTAAAAAGTTGACATTTCAGAATACGAGGGAGTAAATGGCAAAGACTCGATGAAGACCGTTTGCATGCATAAATCTATCTCTATGCATTACTCCATTAGGCACCAATTATAAGGCACATACCGGAAAAATCACACAAAAAATTCAAAGAAAAACTAATTAATGTGTACTATACATATGGAGGGTTCGACTATCAAACACAAGCCCTACTAGTTTTTGTGACAGCGAGATCTAACAAATTCTATTATCCCTACTAGTTTTTGTGACAGCAAGATCTAACAAATTCTATTATTATTATTTTTTTTTAGTTTGAGTTGACGTCAATCCCTACTCGTATAAATCAGTAGAATTATGACTTTCAAATTTTAAATTATTATCCATTACTAAAGCGTTAATGCTACTCGTCGTATTAAGAAAAACAGTTTAAAAATTTTGTTTTCTTGATAAGTACAGTATTCTTTCGCGCACTAAATTTGAAGTTCACTACACTACAAGTAGTTAATTATAAACTTATAAGGGGGCATTAAGCTAGGAAGCAGAACTTTGAGAGGCCGGCAGTTCATTTCAATATCTAAGATTCACCACATCAAATGCTACATATAATGTGATAAATATTGATGAGTAAAACAAGTGTCAGTGCATGCATGGTAATGTATGTGTGTGTCTGCCGTGTACCCATGATCCAAATTAAGTGGGATACTTTCGGTTTGAAGTTGTCCCATATGACTCTCTAATACTATTGAAGATAATGAGAAATATACATGACAAATGGAGGTCTATATATATCCAACCATTACATTTAGCTTCATCATCCCCACAAAACTTAATTATCAAACCCTAGCTAGTGATAATAAGGAAATGGCTGGCTTTAGGTTCTGCTTCTTCCTTCTCCTGCTCTTGCTCTCATTTTCGAGTTCAGAAACCCGCTCTCCCGATCCATTTTCAACAACTACAAAAAGGGCATTGATTGAAAGTGCTCAAGAAATGTTCAAAGCAAGCGTCCAAAGGCATGACATGAGTACAGAGGGCCGTTATGAGTTCAGCAGGGTGAGCCCCGGAGGACCTGACCCGAAGCATCACCAGTAATTGGTCGTGAGGAAGGTCCGGTAGAGCCGGCCTGTACGTGCATGAATATTGGTTCCTAGAGAAAAGAGAAGAACAAGAAAATAAATTTGTTTAGAAGTTGAACTGCGTGATACATTTGTAGTACTTGAGTTTGCTTATGGTGGTGGTCATTTGACCATGATAGAGATGTAACTTGCCATTTGTGATTAATTAATGAATGTTTTATATCAGTTCAGTTAATTCTTCAGGTTCATGCACAGACACAAATTAATTAAAATTATTAGGAAAAAAGTACTTCTATAGAATATGATTTTCGTTAATTTAAAAGTCGTATAAGTAAATATTTATCTATAGTTTAAGTTTGTCCGGTCCAACATCTTTTTTAGCAATTTCCGTTTGTGGTGCTCCATCATGAACACATTACATATAGAGAATAAAAGATAGTTTATCATTTATAATTTTTTTTTTTCCCTCTATATATGGTGGACATCCTTCAATGGATACATAATAAATTCGCTAACTAAATGCTTCTGAAAGCAATGGCCTAACATGGAGTTTGCTTGCTTTGTCAACCAATGAAATGTGTTGCAAGAAAAAAGACAGCCATGCATGGCCAATAGATCGATGATATATATATATACCTCACAGTCAAACTAAGATATATATATAAAAGGATATAAACTAATAAATGTTACATGTGCAAAACTTTTTACCTTGATTGCGCGCCCTAACTTTTCACAATATACCGAGTGATTTGGAGTAGTTGGGTACTCTGATCAAAGGAGGCTTTGTGGAGTAAAGGAATACTAATGGATTTTGAATGTATTAGGAGGCTATGATAATATATATATATAAGAGCATTTTAATTAGGTAATGAATTGTCTTCGTTCAACGTTAGTTTCTTACTACAGTACTCGTTAGTAATGGTTGGTGAGAGCTCGATCTTCAATGGAATTTTTGTTTCTTCTTATTAGTAAGCCATTACTACGTATTTGGCATAAGATAAAAGTTTTCTTTAATTATCTTCCAAAGCAACAAATTAAATTCCTTTGCCCCCCTGGAAAAGTAGAGCAAATGGTGTTTTGGCTCTCTCTAGACTTGGTGTTTGGGTGGCATTAATGGTGTATGTGCTTTTGTCTTCCTTTCTTTTGTTTTGCCTTACTTTATTCATACTCACTTACCCAGAAAAATTAATAATAAAAAGAGTACAACAAATGTTCATTGTGGCTTCCGGGGCTTGGATGAGTTAGTAAGATGAGAGCATTGGCTTGCTTCGGCCAGTATTCAAGCCTTTTCATCTCCGTTATTACTTTTCACTTAAAATGTTATTTGTACTGTAAGATCGGATTGAGTAGTTGAAATTTACCAAATAGCTACAAATATAATAAAATAAAATAAAAAATTAAAAAAAAAAAATGTTCATTGTGTGTGAATGTACAGAGGCCAGTGTCGACAAAACCCAATGGCAGACATGAAGGTCAACCCAAAGTAACTACAGCCCAAGAAGGGACAAACAAAAACCCTAAAGGGTTTATAACGGTATACATGGAGTTTTGGACCTTTATTTATTATTTTATGAATAAGTCAAAGTTACCATGTTTTAAGAAAATGGTGTTGACAAAAATGTTGATGTGAATATAAAAAAATATTATTCATTTACATAAATTATTTTTACTATTTTTAAGTACCATTCTGTGTATAGAGGTATCACTTTTATGCATATAAAGCAGTACTTCTTCTTCTTCTTCTTCTTCTTTTTTTTTTTAAATCATATCATCAAAATGGTCTACACAAAATTGAAGTGATAATTCAAAAAAAATGGTAGTTTGGTGGTCAAATGCCAAAAAGGTGGAGTCAAACCCAAATTTTCCAAATTAATGGAATTTTATTAAATGCTAACTTGGACATGAAAATTTATTGTAGATTTTCTTTTGATTCCCAAATTGTTCATCCTATTGTTATTGTGAAATTATACTACTACCCTTACCAACTTTACGAATTGACTTCACAATTATATATCTGTATCTCGCCATTACATATCACACCGTGTCTTTGATTTTCATTACTTTTGTTTATATTTTTTTTTTCCTAATGTGTGGTTTTTATTCAACAAAAAAAACAAATAAATTACATGAAAAAAACCCTAGAAATTGGACCGAATATAAATAGGAAGAACA